CCCGACATTATGAAATTGTGCACAAAATGTTGGCCTTTTTTCTTGGTGGAGAGTGGTGGTGTTTTCTAATGGGAACCAACTTGCAAAACAAAAGTTAGAACCACTTCCGTAGACCATCAGGGCACAGAAAATCCCTCTGATTAGGAATATAAGTGACAGGGATCAGGGGATGCAAGATCCTGTGCAGTTGGCCAGCCCTCCTCCTTGTTTCCCAGAGGTAGGGAACAGGGTCCGGAGAGTTGAAGGCTTGACTCTCCCAAGACCACGTAGTCTGTGGAGCAGAGAGAAACAGTCTGCGGGAGGAAGAAGGTGGAGGATCTCATCGGAAGATCTCGATTTAATCCTGGGCCTCTGTGGAGATGAAAGTCCAGATTTGACTCTCAGTAGGGGCTTTTTGGGATTGGGGCCTCAAATTTAACAAGATTTCTAAAACCTCCTGCCTTCTTCCTCCCGGCCTTCCACGGGCTTGCTCCACCCTGGTTAAAAGGAACTCCCTCCTTTGGGGAGGGGTTGGGGAGAGGTGGGGCCATCTGCTGGATTGAAGATGGCACCTTCCCCTCTGGGATTGGGCTAGAAAGCGGAAGAAGCAGATTTGCAAAGGATTGGAAGAAGAACAACAGTCCCTGGGGCAGTTTTCAGTTGGCCCCACCTCCCGGACCTCGAGTCCCCAGGGTTCGCCAACGTTTCGGGGTGTGCATTGTTCAAAGGGTCCCATCTGGGCTTCTGCACCTCCCCCTGCTGGACCCCAGGGCCCAGATTCTTGCTAATAAATAAAACACCAATAGGAAAATCTCAGTAGCTTGTGCGCACCACTTGGGAACTTTTAATGACTTCAAATCCAGGTGAGGTAGAATAATCTTTTCTTTCAGAAACCTTCCTATGAAGGAAAAATAAGCATAAAAAAGTGGAGAAGACAAGGTAATACATCTCATGTACCCATCACTTAGCTTTAAAAATTTCCAATTTATACCTAATCTGGTTTCATTTATCTTGTTCCCTGATTATTTTGCAGCAAATCCTAGACATCCCATTTCATCTGCACATATTTCAGTATGTATTTCTAAAAATGTAAGAACTTTAAAAATCACTGGTTTTTAAAAAAAAAAAAAAAGTTAAAAATATTATCAAATATCTCGTCAGTGTTCAGTATGCCAGAGAGTCATTTTTCAACTGGAATAGGCTGGAGAACAAAGTTATTGGCTGAAGGAGTTTGTTTAGCGGCACTCACTCGAGCAGACCCACTGTTCACTATGTTGTGTGAACCCTGAGTATTTTAAATTTCCCCTCAAGCCTAACACAACTATATTTTGGCAATGGCCTCCTGTGTCCTTTTTGCCATAGAAAGGGGCAGCAGAGAGGGCAAGGCAAAGAGGGCCTGGAAGGAGACGGGCTTTGGGTTTAAGTCCTGGCTGTGCTGCTTAGCTGTGTAACTTGGAAAAGATAACTTCGCAATCTGAGGGCGCTGGTCTGTAAAACGAAGCCATGAAAATGGATAATGAGAGGTTTACAGGAGGCACTGAATCTCTAAGTCTGGCATCTGGTAAACACTCCTCAAATGTTAGTCTCTTCCAAATTGACCCATTTTCCTTTCCATTCAGTCTGTCGGTGACACTTCTCTGAAAGGGTGGAAAGAACGAGAGCTTCCTGCCCAGGGAGAACTCCCAACCATACTTCCGGGTGCCCAGCTCCTGCACTTCCTGAATCTCTTAGTTTTCTACTGATTAACTCCTTATGCTGTTGCATGGATGCTATCTTCCTCTGGACTCTTCTGGAATCTGCCCTGGGCTTGAGAAGAATGGTAACTTGGTCCCTGTGGCCCTCGTGTCCCCTGTTTGTCTCCTGCAATAGAGAGGTGGGTCCCCTGTATATCTGGGGAACGGCCCCAGGGCCCAATTATCACCCTGCAGGTCAGGACAGGCAAAAAGGTCAGAAGAAGATACAGGGTGTTGGCACCCAGGGAAATAATTACACTGGAGTAATCCTTTGCTCTGCCTAGGGCTAGTGTCTTCATTCTTTCACTCAACAGGTTTATCAGCTCGGGGGTGGGTGCTGGTTTCCGAACTCCAGTTCTCTTACCTTTTCTGAACAACAGATGTCAGGGTTCAGGCTGGGCTTAGTACAGTGCCCTATTTATGTAGAGCAAAGGCAGTGCTCAAGTCCAGTGGCAGCTATTGGCTGAGTGCTGAGCCGGTCCCTTGAGTTGTCACAGGAGGGTGGGGGAGTGGGGGGTGGAACTCTAGGCTGTGGTATTTCCCCAGCAGTGGAGAACACTTTATTTTACTGCCACTCCGAGCGTCTTATTGCCAGCCTTGCCTTCCTGCCTCTTGCCATGCTTGTCTGCACGCCTGCAGGCTCCCGGGCGCAGCCTGGGACAGGGATTGAGCGCCACGGCCTGGTGGGCACCCCGCTTTTTGTCTCCAGAAAGCCCTAACAGTCAGTTTTCCACAGGAGAAAGAAAACTGAGGTGCTGAGCAAAGACCTCTAAGCCGGCAGGACTTTCTTAGCTCCCGCCCAGCCCTCAGCACACCGCCCTAGCCCAGCTGCAGTGCCTGTAAGTGGAATGAGTTACGCAGGGGCCCCTGGGAAAGAGCATACAGTTCCCCACCTCTCCCCACGTGCTTTGGGCCTGAAATAAACTAGGTAGCATCATACTAGATAAAAACTAAGCTCAGGTCTTAAAATACAAAGTTCTTCCTGTCCTCTGTTTTTTTTTGTCAGGGTGGGGTGGGGGCTTTGCTGGAAGGAGACTTCCAGGCTCTCCTAGGCTTGGGTGTGTGCCCCCAGGGCTGGCCGAGGGGGACTGCAGGATGTCTGCTCCTTCATTGGTTGGGTGGCCCTGCCCTCCTCCCCCTCCTCCTGGAACATTCCACACATTCCAGACTGCCATTGCTTTCAGGATATGGATTAACATCCCAAGCAGATATTTGATTTCACCATCCCATCCCCTCCCTACCCTGAAAAGAAAGCCCCTAAAACTAGGAGTTTGAAGTAAGAGGAGGGTATTTTTGACCTTTGACCTGAGGTTATCCTTTGGGGCCATCATGGAAGAGTGCTGTGCAGACCGAACTACTGCACCGGGGTTGCTCTAGGCAGACGGCCCCTGCTCCCCTCTTCATCCTGGAGAGGGCCTTTGAGGGAGCTCTTGGGCTTGGGTGACCCCTGTCATTGGTGTTGAGCTGAGAACCGTGTCCTCGGTCTTCCAGTGGTGTAAGGATTTCTACCTCATTTCTCCAACAGTTTGACTTTTATTGTTAGGGGACCTGGATTTCCTCTGTCTGCTTGGTCACCAAGTGAGTCTTACGGGAAATCCCCCAGAAGGGCAGATGCCAGGGCTTCCCTCTTGGCCAGTGAGTTATACAAGAAGATGGCCTGGCCTGGGATCGAGGACCTGGGCTGGGTGTGTACCCTGAGGGCTGGCTTGGTCCTTATCCTTTTGTCCGGCTGCATTCTCACCTCCTTAGATCCGATTCATGAACCAACCAAGGTAGAGAGCCACAGACCTAGATTCCCTTCAACACGCACCTTTCTTGGCTCCAAGTGATTTCATCCCCAGAAGAGATGCCCTTAACATATTTCATTGATGACTTGCCACCCTCAGAGCCGCAGAGCTAGATGGGTCTTAGAGACCCTTTCTTTTCCATTTTACAGCTGAAGACACTCAAAGTCCCCAGAGCTGGCCCAGAACAGAGCCCATTAGAAACACTCGTAATTAGAGCTTAGGACCCCTTCTCTTGGTCCTACGTGTTTTTCAGCACTCCTTTCTCCCAGCTTGTCAGGAACTGACATGGTCCGCAGTGCTAAGGGATGCTGAGGCCGGAGGCGGAAGTGGCTGTGTCAGGTGAATGGCCAGTCTTGGGAAGTGAAAGGGCTAGGATTGGCCTTGCTGGCTCTGTAGTCCAGTTTTTTTTCATGCCACTCGAGTTTTATGGAACCGGGTCTCTGAACTAAGATTTTTGTGATCAGGGATAGGCAAAGACTGTAATGACAATTGACCAATACAGGTAAGTCAATTAAAATGTTTTAAGCCCAGGGATTAGGGCATCGATTTTGGGGGGTAACCAATTTCTCTGCTAGTCAGCCTTGAACCTGAAAGCTTCCTCGGGGAAAATTACCTTTTTAAGAGGCATTGAAAGATGGGAAGAAGAAAGTGGAGTTAACTTGGAGGAGGGAAGGAAGGTGTGGTGGTCAGAATGCTGGGTTATGTGTGTGTGAACTACTCCCACCTTTGTGTCCACAAATGCATCTATTATTACATTTTAAGCACTTACTCTAAGCCATTTGCTAAGCTCTTTATATCATCATCTAACATTACCTTATATACCACACCTTGAATAGGTATTATCCCTGTTTTACAAAGGAGGAAACAAAGCCTCAAAGGAATTAAATAATCTTTTAAAGATCAGCACTTGTAAGTGGAGCCCAGGTTTAAATTCATACCTGTATAAAGCATTAACTGCTGCACTATTATCCTGCTGTTGCTTGTTTGCATATATGTCTCCCCTAATAAACTGTGAGCACCTTGAGGCCAGGCACCTTACCTGTTTTGTTTATGGCTGTGTCCCCAGCATCTGGAACAAAAGTCCAGCATGAAGTTAGGCACCAATTAAATAGTATCGTATTAATGAATAATGTCTTTACATAGCTTTGTATTTTTAGTGCCTGCAACATACCAGGTGCTAATAGATGGTCACTGAATTAGTTTCTCTAGTGAGAAGTCTAAGTAGAAAGACAGGCAAAGCGGGTGGGATTTTTAGGGAATTTTGTTACCCTCGTGCTTAGGGCATCTGGTTTTGGTTTTCCTATCTGGTAGCACTGATAAAACTTTTGCCTCCAAAATTGAGGCACTGTTCCCCAAAGTTCATCACTCTTAGACTCTGAGACTCTAAGACTTTGTTGAGTAAAAGGTAGGGAGAGAGACTGGGGCAAGGATTAAAAACTGCAAGATCACAGTCCCCTAAAGCATTCAGAGCTATCACTAATCCTGTTTGCTCTAATTTCAGGAGTCGGAAAATTCAGATACGAAATATTCCACCGCAGCTTCGATGGGAGGTGAGTGATGGGGGGTGCTCAGTGGTGTGGGGTAGAGGAGACTGGGTCGCGAGTCTAGGTCAGCCTGCACTTGGCAGAGACGATTGGGGAGGTCCGCTGGTGGCGTGGTGGGGGCTAGGCCAGGGATGCTGAGGGGAAGCTGGTGGGATCTCTTCCTTAATCGAAAACTACCAGTGTTAGTCCTTTGAAGTGTCCCTGTAGTGAAGGAGGTGGGAGGGATGTCCCCTGAGCCCCAGACTTACTGAGGCAGAAATGGACTTAGAGGCCCAGTTGTCCCAGGTCTACGTCTAAAAAGGTGCTGAAGTCCCTCTTTGAGCTTAAGCGTATGTCTGCAGAGAAACCCTGGCAGGTCACCACCAGTGTTAGTACCCCAGGAAGGGCAAGCTGAACAGGTAATGAGGCTCCGTGCCTACCTGGCTCTGCCTGGGCCCCAGTGCTTTGGGATGAGGAGTGTCCAGCGGCTGGCCTTGTGACAGTTCCTGGGATTCTCAGAGTAACCTGCTTCCCTGTTCCATGCTGCTAGGTCCTGGACAGCCTGCTTGCTCAGTATGGAACAGTAGAGAACTGTGAACAAGGTAAGAGCGGGCGGAGGCGGCAGAGTGTGGTGGTGGAGGAGTGGGTGTTGGAGGACTTTGGGGGATCTGCTCCTCCTCACTTTCCATGAGCAGATTACCAAAAGAAGACAGATGGGATGCGGCCTAGGGGGACATAGGCTGGACTGGGGCCCCGGGCATGTGGTCCCAGCTTTGGCTCTTCTGCTTATCTTGGAACAGGTTTCTCCTCTCTTCAATGAGAGACTTGAACAAAATCACTCATTCTCGTCATAAGGTTCCCATGCTCCTAGGGGTCAACCAAGGTAGAACTCCTAGGATTTTAGAAATAGTTTTAAGAATGGAAATGGTGCGTTTATCATGGGTAAGTTTGCAGCCCCTTTTCTTTAAAAGCATCTCGAGTCTTTATTTTTGGGTGGAATAATCTTCTGGTTGTCTGTTTTTGTTAGAATCTCTGATTGTCAGCTACACATCTTTGGTCAGTGAAAAAAAGCAGGAGATTTCTTACTTCAGTACACATTGATATAGACCTTTCAAGAGTGGGCCTGCAGAAGAAATAATAAAGAATTCTATACTATAAAAAATTAACTGTGATTTCTAAGGTTTTTCCATTGTTTAAAGTTACACATTTTCATAGGAAATGAACTAAAATCAAGTGGAGCGATTTAGGTTGGCTACAAGACAGAGAGCTTGGTCCTTGGGTAGATAAAATACAGTTTGAGTCTGTCAGTCTTTGAGAAACCAAGATAATCACCTAGTCAAGATTTAAATACTCTTCTCCAAATTCTTTGTGGAAAGGCCAAGCTATAAATCATAAATGATTAAAATATTTGTCTGCCCAAAGGTAAAGTGCTGAATCAATCAAACAGGTTCTCTCCTGCTCTAATCCCACAGCTTGCCTTTTATCATCGTAAATGCCAGGACACACCTGGACACCCTGATAACCATTGGCCAGTACTGTCTGCAGCTCAGACTGATGACTATGGTACTGCTGAGCAAACAGATTGAGCAGGGCCTCGGCCTCTGTGTGAGGCCTGGCAGGAGTCAGTGCTGCTTTAAGTCTGTCCAGGGCTCACCAGGGAGCTAACACCACCTCTGGAAGGGATGCCTACTCCTTGGAGAGCAGAAGGGGGAACTTTTTGAGTTGTTGGACAAAAGAGTCTTCAAGTCTGTTCAGCTGCCACTTTTTAAACAAAATTCCTTCTGATAGTCTTTACCATTGGCTTATTAAGCTCCATGAAGTCAGTGGTTTCATATACTACTGTGTTTCCATTTAACCAGAAGATTATTCTTGCAGAATCTTCCTCACCATTGAGGTGGGAGAGCTCTTACTGATGAAGGCCAGAGGGTCACAAGTGTGGTTTGCTTGAGGTCTTGGGCCACGTGCTTTTCCTTGGTGTTGGGTGGGGTGGAGGCGTGATTTTTGTCCATGTCCTCTACCCCAGGGGACCCAAAATCGCAGGACAGTGCTGCATACAACAGAAGGTTAGTTTTATTTACTTAAAATGAGAAGTGTATGTGCCCAGACTGCCTGAAGTTCTAATGTCCAACCCCTTCTCTTCCCTGTAGGAAAGAATATATGGTAATTAAATGAAAATCGAAGGGCTGCTTTTGAAGAGTTTGCTGGGATTAACAGCTCAGGCGTCATGAATTTATGATGCCCTGAACGTGTGCATTCCCACGGTCAAGATGTTTGGAATACTCAGGAGGTCCTTTCCCCTGGAAGAGATTCAGACATTCATTCCCCATGTCGCCAGACTCCACAGCAGCCACTTCTGTCAACCTGTTTAGCTAGGTCATAGCGCGCGCACACACACCTCCCCCTCTTGATTAAGGTATTCTTGAGGGCAGTTGGGCCTCTCAGATGCATTTGGGTGTTACCCCAATCTCTTCGGCCATATCGGTAAAGACCATTTCTTGGGACGTGTACTTCTATAACTTGCTAATCTCAGTGTGCGTTGATTTTTAACTAGCTTAACTTTCTGAGGGTAAATGTGTTCTCGGGCTGGTGTGTGCGCGACTGACCTGCTGCCTAATTGCCGTTAAGTTGACTGCATCCTTTTATATTAGCCAGCTCTCTCAGGGGCTGGGAAGGGAAATCAGAGGAAGACATAGAAAGGAAAATGCAAGAAGGAGAATTTAAATTTTCCAGGAGTTCTGGTAAAAGGGGCCTGAGGGGGAACTGTTTTGCCTTGTCATTCAAGTATTTCAGCAGCTCCAAAGTGGTCTGCCTTGCGCAGGTGCCTTCTTTACCCCACAAGATGTAAGGATGAACTTTTAACACTCAGGATTCGTTGATGGCATCTCTAGGTTTCACTGCTCTAACCCTGGTCTCTGTTTTGCTCCCGCAGTGAACACAGAGAGCGAGACAGCAGTGGTGAATGTCACCTATTCCAACCGGGAACAGACCAGGCAGTGAGTAGGCTGGGAAGTGGGGTTGGGAGGGTCTTTGTGGGGTGCTGCTGGGGTGTTGGTTCAGGAATCTAAAAGGTTCAATAATCTGTTAGGATTGATGGCAAATAGTTAGAAAGGGGGGACCCAAAGAAACCTTCCTTCAAAGTGGGAAATCCTCTGTAACAGAAAAAGGTTGCCTTCTGAGAGATCTCTATTTGCCTGAAAACTTCAGGGCTTTCTTGTGTTGATGGCGCCATCTAGTGATAGGAGGGGGAATGCTGTATTTTTTTAAAAAGATGAGTTAACGCAGGATGTGGTGGGGCAGACATTTTATTGCAATGATCACCGGGAGCCCAGTTTACGCTGGGTGGGGGTCCTTTCAGTTGCCTTACACAGACGCTTTCTAGCTCCTTCTCCCTTTGGTTGGGCAATTAACACTTCAAACCCATTGGCCTTGACAAAGTAACTGTTCATGTTACGCATTCATCCATTTATATCTATATAGACCCTGTTAGAGGCCTTCTGCCACATTTTGCTGTCGATGCCTTTTTTGCTGCTTCATGCTGCCTCTGTCCTTTCTGTTTCCTCCAACTTGGGCTACTCTGGTATCTGAGAAAGTGGTGGGATTTTACATTTTATTGTAGATGTCACTTGGGCTCAGAATTTTCTGGAGGCTCCTTACTGCCCCTTGTGGCCAATCTGGTTTTTAGCCTGGCTGTAAAGGTCATGCCCACACTCACTCATTCCCCCACTACCTGTCGCCTTGCCCACGTTTCTAACCAGTGACAGGCCTGGGAGGGGGTGGGGCTGGGCCCGTCCCTTCAGTGTCACTTGGCCATCTTACAGGCACCTCAGATGCCCGTAAACTCCTGCTTCCGCGTGGTGAGCAGGCTGTTCTGTCTCCAGCTCCTGACATTTTTGCCACGTAGTTTCCTTGAACATAGAAGGTGCCAGGCTTAATAAGTACAAAAACAAACTTGTGAGTTCTTTTCATTTATTGTGTTTATTCATTTATTGTGAATCACGTGCAATTCTCACGTAACTCATAATAGGTAATCTTGGCTGAAATTGACAACCTGAGGCCAAAACTAAGTGGAAATAACTAATTGAAATTTCCCTTGATATTTTGTGCCATTCAGACCGAGGGTTCTCTGAGGTGGAGGTAGGAGCGATGGGCAGGTGGTCATATCCCTTTCTTAAGTGTTCCATGCTGTAAAACTCTTTACTCAAACAGGACACTTGGTGTGAACAGCATGGGTTGGAGTGACAAGTAGATTCCCTCTCTGTCCCCAGAGCCATCATGAAGCTGAACGGCCACCAGCTGGAGAACCACGCCTTGAAGGTCTCCTATATCCCTGACGAGCAGATAGCACAGGGCCCTGAGAACGGGCGCCGAGGAGGCTTTGGCTCTCGGGGTCAGCCTCGGCAGGGCTCGCCTGTGGCAGCCGGGGCCCCGGCCAAGCAGCAGCAAGTGGACATCCCACTGCGGCTCCTGGTACCCACCCAGTATGTGGGCGCCATCATCGGCAAGGAGGGCGCCACCATCCGCAATATCACAAAACAGACCCAGTCCAAGTGAGTCTCGGCTGCCGGGGAATGGACATGGGTGCTGGGAAACAGTGGTTCGTCCCTGGGGAGGCACACTGCGGGGCGTCGGCCGGCAGTGTCGCCTGGGACACGTTCCTCCTTTTCCAGTCAGGAGTCTCTGCTGCCAGTCCCGGACTCCTAGCAGGGTGGGGTCGGGTCGGGAGGCAGAATGGCATGGGTGCACCATGGGGTGGCAATTACTGGGTCTTAAACTGTTGTAAGTAAGTTGGGTTTTGAACTTTCTCGGAGCAAGCCACGGCAGGCAAGCCTAGTCTCGATGAGTCGGTCATCCTGTGGTGCTCTGACTTTAGCGCCGCTCACTGGTGTCAGTAGGGCTGGTCAGCCCGGCCAGAGTCTGGGCCCTCGGTCAGAGGTCAAGAGTCCGCCCCGTCGCCCTTTCCCCAACAGCCACCCCTCTTCTCTGATCTTCCTGGCTGATTGGCGCGACCTGGGAAAGAACCGGTCCCGTTATGTCCTTATTCATGATACATCCTTTCTCATTTACTTTTCATTTGGGACAGTGAGCCTTCCCTTTATAGTTGTTTCAGGGGGGAAATCCAGAGTTCACAGTGGGGAGTTGTGGGCTGTTGATCCCCAACCCTGCGGTCCCATGATAGATGCCATTATTCCAACCACCGCCTCCTAAGACAGGAACCAGAGCAACAGGCTGGTCATGTCCCCGGCCCTTTTCTCTGCCCTCCCCAGTTCTGCCTTTGATCGACCTTATTCCAAGAGGAGCAGCTCCTGTGCCTTTGATTGAGAGGTTGGGGGAGCCCGAGAAAGACCCGATTCCTCCAGCAACAGCTAACCAACCATCCTTGTCCTTGTGGTCCTCAGGATAGATGTGCACAGGAAGGAGAACGCAGGCGCGGCGGAGAAGGCCATCAGTGTCCACTCGACCCCCGAGGGCTGCTCCTCCGCCTGTAAGATGATCTTGGAGATCATGCATAAGGAGGCGAAGGACACCAAAACGTAAGGCTTCCTAAGGATGCGGAGGCTGCCAGCTTCCTGAATCCAGCACCCTTTTACTTTCTATACACAAGAATACAGAGATAGAGGAGTCATAATCAGAATTGTACAAAAGGTTATAGACTGAGAAGTGAAACCCTCTTTCTCACAAGGGATGCCGCCTTTTATGCCCTCCTAGAAATTCTGTGCACCTGGGGGCATGTGTATCCATGCGCACGTGTATGAGTGCATGTGTGTTTGAACATGAATAGGCTCATAATGAACATTCTGTTTTATAGTGTGCTTTTCTCATTTTCATGCACCAGTACACACCAACGCAACCTGTTGTTTTTATAGCTACAGAGAATTCTAGTGTGGCTATTTTAAAGCATACAATTGGGTTGTTTTTAATATGCATAGACCTGTAAAACCGTCACCACAATTAAGATAATGAACACACCCGTTGCCCGCATCGTTTTTGCGTCCCTTGGCAACGGCACCATTTCTCTATCCGGAGCAACCGCTAATCTGCTGACTTTAGTACTCTCCTAGAGTGTAATTTTGACCTGTGGTTTGTCCTGAAAACCCCACGGGGGTGGCATGATGGCTGAGTCTCCACGTGACCCCCCTTTTAAGGAGTTCCTCCCCCCCACATCCCCCCTGTATCTCTAAGGGCTGACGAGGTTCCCCTGAAGATCCTGGCACATAATAACTTTGTGGGGCGTCTCATTGGCAAGGAGGGGCGCAACCTGAAGAAGGTGGAGCAGGACACAGAGACGAAAATCACCATTTCCTCGTAAGGCACTTTTGTGTTTCCTTCTGCATGCGTGGGGGGCCCAGGGGCCTGGGGCCAGCTGCACTTCATCATTGAGCCTTAATACTTGCCCCTTAAGTTGGATGCATTTTCTTCCTATTGAAGAATTAAAGACGTGGTAAAGAGCATTTCCTGCCATCAGAGCTGGAGCTTTGCCATCACCACCGCTGCGTGGGCTGGGGGGCTGGGGGGCTGGGGAGCTATGGTTGGGTGCTGCCTCCTGGGTCCTCTGCTCTCAGGTGTGCTGCCTTTCAAGGAGAGAGCCTGCAGCTCGGAGCCAGGGCTTCGGGGTTTCAGGCATGTGTGTCAGGTTGTGAGAAGGGGAGAGATCTAGGTCCTTTGCTGAGGACAGAGTGTATGCGGTGTCCTGCCTCTGGAAAGAACCTAAGTTAAGAGGGTAGCATAGCTCTTTGAGCTCCATGTGTCTTCATTTCATCAGAGACTTGCTGGTGGGCAAAGTTCTGCCCTGTTCCAAAAAGGCACAGAAAATGGATGGCCTGGAACCGCCGGGGAAAGGTGCATCCTTCCTGTTTTACCTGTGGTGACAGCCTGGGATGGGACTCCTCGCAGACAGAGGGCTTTCAGCAGGGTGTTCTCACCTCCTCGCACCTCACGCCGCCCTGGGTACGACCCAGAGGCCAGAGACAGAGCGATGTGGCTGAAGTTGAACAGCTTGTAGAAATGGAGCTGAGACGCGTCCCCGGCTTGGGCGCCAGGGCCCGGGCCCTTCCTGTGCATGGAAGGGTGACGCCGCTCTGCTCTCCCCACAGGCTGCAGGACCTCACCCTCTACAACCCCGAGAGGACCATCACCGTGAAGGGGGCCATTGAGAACTGCTGCAGGGCCGAGCAGGAGATTATGAAGAAAGTTCGGGAGGCCTATGAGAATGACGTGGCCGCCATGAGTGTGAGTGCCAGTGCCTCTGTCTGCCCTTCCTCCGAGCCTGAGCCGCGGCGGGGGTCTTCCTCCTGGCGGGGGTGGGGGCGGGCAGGCCAAGCACCACGTGGCCTTGGAGCACTTTGCTTTTGGACCTCGATTCATCGGAAAAAGGCTTTTTAATTTAATTTGTAGGCATTCTTCATTTGATTCTTGAGGTGGGGTTCTAATTTTGGGCTCTGAGGTCTGTGAGCCTCCTATAATTATGTGTAAAATTGTGTGCACGCGCGCGCGCGTGTGTGTACTTTCGTGGGTAGGTCGCCCATCATTTTTATCTGGTTTTTAAAGGGGACTGAGGATGTAGGGTAGGTAACGAAAAAGGCCAGTCCTGGACTAGAAGTCAAACGGAGATCTGCCCCTGCCACTCCTCACATAGGACGTTACGGTACAAGGCTGTGAGTGTCATCTGTCTCAGAATGAGCCAGGGGGTGGACCTCATTTTTTAATTTTTAAAAGATATTATTTATTTATTTTTAGAGAGGGGGAAACGGGGAGAGACACATCCATGTGAGAAAGAGACATTGATTGGTCGTCTCTCGCATGTGCCCTGACCCCAGGAATTGCACCAGCGACCTTTTGCTTTGCAGGATGACACCCAACCAAGCCATGCTGGTCAGGGCCAGAGGAGGGACCTCTGACAGAAGAGCCAGAAGGGTGGCTTTTCTGGTTGGCATTGCACATTCTCAGTCCAGTGAGAATACCATATCGCTTACAACTCCACACCCTAAGTATATATGTACATGGGAAAAGCAGATGGCAGGAAGGTGTTTGTAAACGCGTGTAATTCTGTTTTTGGCCTGCCCTCTCTGGGGGTGCTTGCCTTCTTGGTTCAGCCAGGGCCACACGCAAGGGACCACTGGGCCCTGTCAGAGTGAGCTGACCCCTCCTCCTCACCTTCCTTCCCCAGCTGCAGTCTCACCTCATCCCTGGCCTGAACTTGGCTGCTGTGGGTCTTTTCCCAGCCTCGTCCAGCGCAGTACCGCCACCTCCCAGCAGTGTCACCGGAGCCGCCCCCTACAGCTCCTTTATGGTAGGTGCAACGGGCCTTTCTGCAGCCTCCCTGCTTTGGGAACTTGCAGGGAGAGGGGAGGGGGTCTGAGGCTGCCACCTCCACACTGTTCCCAGCCCTTGGTGCCACTTAACAACCTTGACCCTGTGGAGGGTGGTCTCAGATGCTGGCAGCCTATCCCTCTTTTCTCCTCTTCCTCTTGCCCAGCTTCTCCCCTCTATCCCTGCTGGGCACAGGGAGAGCTAAAGAAGACGTAGCCCAGGTAGCCCCGGTAGCCCCGGTTGGCCGCTGGGCGCCTGCCCCGCTCTTGAGGATGCACGGCAGGGGTGTGGAGGGCCTTCTGGGCCGCAGCGCTTGGCCCGCAGTAATGATGCGCCTTGTCTCGGCAGCAGGCTCCGGAGCAGGAGATGGTGCAGGTGTTCATTCCTGCCCAGGCGGTGGGTGCCATCATTGGCAAGAAGGGGCAGCACATCAAACAGCTCTCACGTTTTGCCAGTGCCTCCATCAAGGTGATCTGCTTTGTGTTCTTCCAGGTCCCCGACGGGGGCGTGCTCTGCTTCCCTCGCCCTCTGCCTTTGTTTCTAGATGCCCTGTCTGGCTGGTGTTGGGGCCCTTGTCCTGGGGAATCGCAGTCTCCTTAGTTTTTGACCTTGCTGGGTCCTCTGCAGAAATCTTCCCCATTTTCAGGCCAGGGAGGAGGCAGAATTATAGCCTGGAGGTTCTGCCACAGGCCGATGTGGGTTCAAATCCCCGTTCCTAGGCTGTAGCACCTGAGTCTCAGTTTCCCGATCAGTATAGTAGTCATAGTGTCGCTGAAGCCCCTGGCTTGGTCAGTGCCTGGTGGGCAGTGGTTGCTCAGGAAATGTTAGCAGCCATCTTTCCCTTCCCTGGCCAGGGTCCCGTGGAGGGAGGAGGGCATCTGTCACAGTGAAACAAAGGTGTCGTTAAATTTCACGAGTCTAAACCCATTTGTTTCAGTGACTTCAGGTTTCGGTGAAAAAGTTACTGTTCTCTGGGGAAGACCAGTCACTACCCGCCCCCCGGTCATCCCATCTGTGCCCTCCACTTGGCAGGAATCCACTGGGACCTCCCCAGGATATTGAGTGGGGGCCCTGGGGCCCTGCTTAGGCAGCGTCATTGAAGCAAACCCATTCATAACCTTCCAATCAGTTTTGGTGCAGGGGCAACGACCTTGGGGTTCGGGTTCTTTTTCCTTCCCTTCTGCGCCCTCAGAACTGGGGAGTGGGAGTCGGGCAGGGGTAGGTGGACGGGTATGGTAGAGACAGAGGGCGTCTCTGTGACCAGCTGTTTGCTTTGCAGATCGCTCCTCCCGAAACTCCGGACTCCAAAGTTCGTATGGTCATTATCACTGGACCCCCAGAGGCCCAATTCAAGGTTCCGATCTTTTTTGTTTTTTCTGAGCTGGACGTGTTGGAATTGATGGGGGTGGAGGGTGCAAATTCATGTCCCATTTTTAAGTGTCCCTGCAGGATGTAGGGCTGCAAGGCTGCTTTCAAACTGGCCCCAGACTTCATTTCTGTTGACTTCTACTTGCCTTGTTACTATTTGAAGGTCAGCAGGCATACAGGAAGGAAGTCTGAGACTTCTTCCTTGCACTCTGCCTTAGTTACTAAGGAAGGCCTTTGATGCCAAAGTCCCTTCTCTCCCTTATGTCTCTACTACATCCCTGGGTTCTTGAACTTCTGGTCAGACAGCCAAAGAGCAGGTGGTTAACTTAGCCTCATGGGATGGAAAATTGGGGCAGCTCTCCAGGCTGCGTAGAGTGTCTGATAGCCTGTTCTCTGAGTGACTCGCTCAGTTGCCCTCGGACCTGAATTACTAGCCACTGCCTTGTTCAAATTAATGCAGTTACCGGACTCCCACAGGTCTGGTTTATAGCCGATTTTCCCAAGCTGAATACATTCTGTTCTCCCATATGGATAAGCAGAATGGGTCAATGCTGTTGAACTTTTCGCATTGCCAGGCCTAGCTGGTTGAGCTGCCCCGAGGTGGGGTGGGCTTTTGGGCCAGAAGAGGATTGGGTGGAACTTGGGGGCTGCACTTCATGTTTCGTTGTATGTATGGCCTGGTGACTAACAATGACCTCGTCTTCTCAGGCTCAGGGAAGAATTTATGGAAAACTCAAGGAGGAGAATTTCTTTGGTCCCAAGGAGGAAGTAAAGCTGGAAACCCATATCCGGGTACCAGCGTCAGCAGCTGGCCGGGTTATAGGCAAAGGTGGCAAAACGGTGAGCTGTGAGGGCCACTTTGAAAGTTCTGGACCTTAGTTCCCAAACCCAGTGGCTCTGCTGTGGCCCGCCCTGCCCAACCTTAGGACTCCCATTTTGCCCATTTCCTTGATTCTGCTCCCCAAACTCAGCCTCTGGCTCCCAGTGTCCACTTGCTAGTCCCCAGCCTCTTGCCCCCTCCCTCTAAGCCCACCCATGCTTTCTTGATGGCAACGTGGGCTCCTCTTGGCCCACACTATGCACAGGTGAACGAGTTGCAGAATTTGACGGCAGCTGAGGTGGTGGTGCCAAGAGACCAGACCCCCGATGAGAACGACCAAGTCATCGTTAAGATCATCGGGCATTTCTATGCCAGCCAGGTACGTACAACAATCCCCCCATCGCAGGAGGGTGGCAGGAGCCCAGGGGTCAGAGAAGCGAGACTGCAGAGGTTGACCGGCGTGACCTGTCAGGCCCCGTGGCTGCTTCCTGCCTCTGGGCTGGCTCGTTCTTCTCTTCCAGGTACAGGGGCTACTCCCTCTTAAGATTCCCCGAGGAAAGTGATTTGACAACTTTCATGTGTTTCATATATGTTATATGACTTTATATATTATATATTATCAGCGATCTTTCCTGTTTTTTAACCCTAGTCCTTCCCTCACCATATTTTTAGTCCTTCCTTAACCATTTTTTGCACTGGATAAGAAAAGAAATTTGTATTTTATCACCCAGTCTTGTTCACAAAAGAGACACATTCTGGGACATTTCTGTCAAGTGAACTGCATTTTACAGTTGGTTTTCCTTGTAAACTTTGTTCTTAGGGAAGAAACTTTTAATAAGGAAAGAGTAAAACTGCTGATCCTTCAGTATTCTACCCACTTTCATAGTGGTTAATCCATCTCCAGGCATTTCATCCACTTTCCTGGGGATGTTTAATGTGCAGTGGAGCTGTGGCTTGTGATGAGGGCTTCAAGTTGATGGCCCTTTGATCAGCACATGCTCTGAAAACTCAGGAGTTCCATACTGGGTTCAGTAACGTGACAGCTTTGTTTAGTTTTAAATTCCGAATAAATTCTAAGCCCCGCTCCCCCTGCTGTGTTATCCAGCGGGTGCTCGGGGCCCACTGGGAGGCAGAGAAACGCAGTTCACGCTCACACACCAGTCTTCCTCATCTTTCTTCTAACTCCTGTGCGTCCTGCTTGTTGCTGGTGTCTGAGTCCCTGGGGACCTCTCCCTGTGTGAGGCCGTCTCCTTCCTTACCTTTGGAGGTCCCCACTCCCTCCGTCTCGCCTGTTCTTTCTGCAGATGGCTCAGAGGAAGATCCGAGACATCCTGGCTCAAGTTAAACAGCTGCACCAAAAGGGACAGAGTAACCAGGCCCAGGCACGGAGGAAGTGACCAGCCCCTTCCCATCGCATCGACGCGAGGACGACGGGCTGGAATCGAGAGCGCGTTCTCCCCAGCAGGCCTGAGAATGAGTGGGAATCAGGGACACGTGGGCCAGGATGTAGATCAGGTTTGCCCACTTGTTTGAGAAAGACGTTCCAGTGAGGAACCCTGATCTCTCTGCCCCAAACACCCAACCAATTGGCCCAACACTGCCCGCCCCTCAGGGTGTCACCATGGAAATTCTAGCTCAGGGTGCTTTTAAACGTGGATTGTTTAAGTTCTTCAGGGCCCACCGAGAGGGTGGGCCGGATCCCACTGGGAAGAGAAATAAAATTTCCTTCAGGTTTTTAAAACATGCAGAGGGGTGTTTTAATCAGCCTCAAAGGATGGTTTGCTTCTTGACCCTAAAATCCTTCCAGCCTTCTCCTGCTTGGTTTATTAATTAAAATACCTCCATTCTCATGCCCTGACATAACCTCTTCCTATATTCACACTAATTGTTTTATCTTTACCGCTACCAGAAAGAGTGGGAACAAACGCATCACTTAGCTTATGTTATTGATTCAAAGGGAGAAGACACACCGGCATCTGTAGTTTAATTCCAGTCCCTCCCTAACCAACCAACAGGAACAGCAAGGAATAAAGAATGGGGGAGAAATGGGGAGAAAGATGATTAAAATATAGTAATCCACGTTTAAAAGGAGCGCCCTTGTGGCTGATCTATTCCAGATCACCGTCTGGGAAAATTGGCACAATTAGAAGCTCCCCCACTCTGCTGGGGCTGCCCCACCAAGGTTCCCTGCCCCGTTCATGTCCCTCCGACCACGTAGGCCCCATGGCGTGTCCAGGTGCACGTGGGTGGTACTGAACGCTCAGCGGGAGAAGGGCCGACCACTGCACCGTCCCTGATTCCCATCATTCTCAGGCAGATTTTATATTTTTTTAAAGTCTATTTTAATGATTGGATGTGAGCACTGGGAAGGGGACAGTTCTCCCCTTGATAAAGTCTCAGTTCCGTGGAGGACTTGAGTGGCCCCCAAGGCTGCCACTGTGCCCTCAGGCCAGCCCGTGCGCTCCCATGAGGGCTGGTTCCCAGAGGCAGGGGTTGCGGGGCACTCCCCCCACCCCCCGCGGCACTGTTCTTTTGGTGGTGGTGGGATGTGGACCCCAACCCTGAGCTCCCAATAAAGCTCAAGTTCATCATCTGGCACATATTATGAAGCTTCAATAAATGGGAGAGTACTTGCTTCTGTTTTTATCATAGAGGCGTATTTAACTGATGGCTTCTGTCTCTGAATCATTGGCATGATGAAAAGTGTGCCTAAAAAAGCAAAATTCAAAATATGAGCAACATGTTATGTACAAAGGGGTAAATACACTTAATTTATTAACTTACCAGCCACAATAAGATCCCGTCCGAAGTTCAGCCCTTGCGGGAGGCAGCAGCCATCAGTTAACCGAGGTTAGGCCCCTCCGACTCTATACTGTCGATGCATGTTAGCCAGGTGGTGTGCTTTAGCTACCCTGGACAATGCTATCAAGTGTGCTGGGAAGGGAGGAAGGCCTCTCTGCATGTGGAAGAGCCCACGTGTGGAGTCCCCTCCTTCCGACATTGCAACAACAGTAACAACAAGACAACCATGACACGTGGGCGGAGTCAGTCAGGTAATGCTGTGCGCAAGTGAACTACCTCAAGGTATGAAGTTACCTCAGCAATTACTTTCCTTTTTGTTCCCCCCACCTTTTTTTTTTTAAACCTTTTTTTCTTTGCGGCTTGCTGATATTTTATATAAAAAAGAAAAGAAAAGCAAAAGAGAAGCTGATAGTCTTGAATATTTTATTTTTTTAATGAAAAGAAAAAAATGAGAAAGTTATGTTTCATAATTTCTTAATTCCTTACAACATGAGCCAGTGTAACCCTTTAGGAACTCTCTGGAGAACAGGCCCCGTGGGAAAGGCAGCGGGGCTGTCTCCTTGCGGGGAGGCCGGGGCTGGCAGGGAAGGCCGAGTTCGAGAGCCGGTGGCGAGGCTCTGACCTCTGGCTCAGTCTCACCTGGAAAATCCCGCCTGGTGGGACTGAGATGCCTGGCCGGGCTGCAGGCCCCCAGAGGCCAAACAGGTCTCTGGTGTCCCCTCTCCCACCTTGGTTAAAGGGCATCCCGGCCAGTCTTTCCCACCAGCGGTGCTGTTGAGATATTTTAAAGTATTGCCTCCGTTTTATCGAGGAGAGAAATAAAAGAAAGAAATTACCCTTTAAGAATTTATATTTCTCTGTCTAAAATATGGGAGCCAAGATTCTGTTGGTGGAAGAGACAAAGCCACCATCTAACCTCCAAGAGAGAGGTCTGCCTGGTCTGCCATTGCCACGCTTTTCATTTTTGTTCTTGTCTCATTTCAATCCCATCTTGTTGTTCTCGGTCTATTTCAGGAGACCAAGAGGCAAGCAGATTCTTGGGTACCTGCTCCTCTCCACTGCCCTATCTTTATATCGATCTGACGGTGGACCCAGCTTTCGGGGATTCTTGATTTAGGGTGGTGGGTGGGTGGCAGGCAGGGGCAGGGGATATGGGTACGTGATTGGGGGCAGGTCCGTGCCTCACTCATGTCTTAACCACTGTCTCGCTGTGATGTTCCTACGTAACCCCCAGAACTGTGTACTCTAAGGAGAGGAGGAAGCAGGAAAGCATTTAGGGATAATATCAGGCCAGTAATAATGAAGCTTCCCACCTGTCCTAACCACAATAAAGGGTCTTCAGCTTCCATCTCTGGCTCTACACGCTTTATCCCAAAATGAAGCAGATAACTTTCAGACATCGGCCATTTAGTGATTTAAGGTGAATTTCCAGCAGCAAGCATGCTTTGATACCTGGTTCAAACTACCATCAGAAAAGAAAAAAAATCCCACAGTACCTGAAATGTGATTGGTGCAGTGTTCCATTTCCTTGGGATCCTGCTCCCGCCACGCCTTCCGCCCAGGTCCTTGTCCTGCAGCTGATTCAGCTCCCAGGAGAGACCGGGAAGTGTGGCGAGGGACTGTCAGGCCTTGCTAGGATTAGGCACAGCTCCACTCATCGCTGATACTTGCCCAGCAGGAAAATTGTGAAAGTTAACACTACCAGAAAGCAAAAGGAATGTGGTTTGGTGGTTAAGGTTTAGCGGGATAAAGGGCTTGTCTTGGTGGGTCCACCTTTGACCCATAGGCTAGGTCTCGGGGCAATTCCTCGCCCTCCTGCTCATCACCTCCATGTGCCCGTCCTTGGTGAGATGACAAGCTAATGTGAAAAGCACTTGGGAGACTTGTATGATCTGAGAAAAGTGACTTCTGTGCTCTAAGATATATATGTGTGTGTGTGTGCTACATATATATTTTTAAGAAAGGACCATCTCTTTAGGATATATTTTTTAATTCTGTGGAACATGTAAGAAACCAAAATGGTTTGACTCACTGATTTTGAAGCTGCATCTGACAGTTACACCCCAGTGGCTTTAATCCCCTCGAGGGTCAGTTGCCTTTTGCAGTTTGGGTTGTGGACTCAGCTCCTATTAAGGCTCTGGGTGGTAGAGAGCCATGTTTTCAGGGACAGGGAGTTTTCTAACCTGCCCAGTTCTCCCCTCCTCCCAGTCCTTCTCGATTTTTTTTTCTTCTTCTTTTTCTTTTCCCCTGAGCTCTCCACTTCTGGAGGCACTCGGAAGCTATTCTCTTAGTTATGCCTCACTATTGGCAGAAAGACCCCACATAAAACCCAGAGAACGCTGGATGGGACACTCCAGTTGGTTCTTTGTGTCCATTTTCCTCTGTGCCAAAGACAGACAGACAGAGGCTGAGAGAGGCCGTTCCTGAATCAAAGCAGTAGCCATCTTTCGACTTAGACCTGGGCTATCTGAAAGGGAGGGGGCTCCCGCAAACTGCGCGAAAGACAGGACCCTTCCTTTCCCAGGCTCCTGAGGGGTGTAGGGGCCCTATGTGCCAAGGGGTAGGGAGCTGAGAAAGGGGTCCGATGGCTCCTGGTTGCACTTTGGGGGTGGAGGGGGAGTTTGGGGCCCCTCCACGTGGGGACTGCTCTTTGTCCCCTGCCCCCACTGCAGAGATAGCACCTGAGTTCCCTTCAGGCCTGGCAGGCTGGCGGTGAGGAGGGGCCTCAGTTAGCTCTCAAGGGTGCCTTCCCCTCCTCCCACTCCAGACATACCCTCTGCCAAACTGGGAACTAGCAGTGCTAGTAACTACCTCACAGAGCCCCGAGGGACCCCTAGTCACCCCCTTTTGCCTCTCCATGGGTGGGGGAAATCTTTCTTCTCCCCCACCCCCCCAATGTGTTTATGGGCAGAGATCCTAGTGGCTTGTACCACGCAACTGTTTTGCCTGTTTGGTGAGAACTGGTAGAGGGGAGAACAGCAGAGCCTGACAGTGATTGCAGGAAGATGGAAGAAAAATCCTCAGTGCCAGGGGACATAAAGCCATTTCCCTTCCAAACACGATTTAGATGCAGAGCATTTCTCTTGTATTCAGACTTAAAGCAACACCAGCGGAAAACTTCAGTTTCTGCCCTTTGGATGCATAAGGCTTCTCTAGGGGGTGCAGGACAGGCAGGAGGCCTCATGACCGAAGGTGGATTTGTAGGGAGAGGGCCAGTGCCCCAACCCTGACTCTCTGCCCTCTTTTGGGGGCACAGTCTGATGGCACCATTGCTGGTGACTTAGTATGGTTGAATCCGGACTGACAAGAAATTTTTTTTTTCTTAAATAGCAGGAAGCTCCATGGGAGCATGTGTTTTGAGTAACCACAGGTGATGGATGCTACGAGTATAAATGGATTAACTACCTCAATCCTTACAGTCAGATTGGAACCAAGGGCAGGGACTCGTGCATAGGGTAGGATTCCCAGCCAAGAGGAGTGAGTTGAGGCTTGTGCCACAAAAGGTTTGTCCTTGCGGGACAGGCAGGCCTGCCAGCACCCACCAGCTCCCGTCAGTTGGGTGTCAGCTGGGTTGCAAGGCGGGCAGTCAGTTCCC